ACTGCGCGTATTTGAATAAAAGACATACTTTTCTGTGGGCAAAGGTTTCTAACCTGGGTGTGGGAGCCGGCTACTTCTACTTGCCAAAAATCTCTTTGAGACATTAATCTCATTCCACAGAACGTTTTTGACCTTTCCAATGTTTGCATAAGAAAAATGAAGCACAGATGTTTGCAGGAGTGGGACGCAATTGTCTTGAGCGCCGTAGTATCAGAGGAGTGGATCTGTCAGTCTGTGGAAGAATGATTTTTACTAAGTATGTAAAAGTGAATCTACTCTCATTTTTGAGAAGTTGGAAATAAGAGACACACCTGCAAGACACATATTATTAATCAATTAATTAGCAAGTATGCACTGAGCCTCTACTTTGAAGTAAGTGGTATGCAGAACAAGGGACTGGAACATTTTTAGCGATACAGAAAGAAGAGAAGAGGAAAAGACATAAGCCTCTAACTTCAGGACATTTATTAGAAAGTCAGATAGAAAAGGCATACCCACGGAAAGCTAGCAGACAATTCAAGATGGTGCATAGTAAGCATTATATGAAAGGAATCAATAATCCTGTCAAATTAGACAGGTTAGGAGAAAGAACAAGAATTATAGAAGCCTAGATGGGGCAGCAAAATCTTTATCAAGATGATACTTATCGGGGCGCCTGGGTGGCTTAGTCGGTTAAGCGTCCGACTTTCGCTTAGGTCATGATCTCGCGGTTCGTGGGTTCGAGCCCCGCGTCGGGCTCTGTGCTGACTGCCAGCTCAGAGCCTGGAGCCTATTTCGGAGTCTGTATCTCCCTCTCTCTCTGACCCTCCCCTGCTCACGCTGTCTCTCTCTCTCTCCTAGAAATAAATAAAAAAATTAAAAAAAAAAAGATGATACTTATCAACTGGAATTTGGAAGGATAGGACTCAGATGAATGGAGACTCTGGGATTGGGCAGAAAGAAAAGAGGAAGGCAGGAAAGCAGTGGAGAATTTAGGAACAGACCACGGACTAGTCTATCTCTTGGGTACAATTAAAGTTGACAGCTCATTCTCTCGGAGGTCAGAAAGTAGGGGATGATGTATGCAAAACGATGCTAGAAATAAATCTGATGATAACTTTAAATGCCCATCATGTCTAACTATTCTAGATAAGGCTCTTTTGTTGACAAAGAACAGAAGCCACTCAAACTAACTCAAGTGAAAAGGGAATGGGAGAATTGTAAGATTTTAACAGGAGACCTCTCCTACATTCAAAAGCAGTTCATGCTCCAGGAACCAAGGACCCTCTGTTTGACTTAGGAACACATCATCTCAGCTTCTGCTTTTATGTCTCCCTCTTTCTTTCTCTTTCTCTCAGTCTACCTACGCTGCTTATTCATCTTGTACACAGTTAAAATATACCCAGTCCCTTTCCTGGAACCAAAATCTTTTATTTCCATCATCTGTTGTTGACTAATAACATCCTCTCATTTTTCTATTTTTTTTTTTTTTTTCAGTTTAAATGCTTATGAGAAAGAGAGGCTCTTTAGTAACTGGACAGGCAGTTCACTGGCCGGTTTAGATTAAGTAGCCACCTCAATTGACCCAGCCATCGCTCCTAACCAAGAACCCCCCAGTGGTGTCTCCTTGCATTGGGAGTTCCAGGGAGAGCTGTCTAAACCAGAAGAAGAAACAGACTGATATGTTCCATGCTCTAGAAAACCATTAGACTTCCAGGGAACATTTGGTGTGTTCCATACACATTTGGGAAACCTCTGCTGTTTCTCTGCTTCTAAGAAGGATTTACCCAAAGCTTTCTTCTAAAAGAGCCGTGACACCCTGAAAGGAGTCGGTCCTTAAGTGAATGCTGACTCCACCACCTCTGACAGTAACCTTCGGTTCATCCCCTGTAGAATGAGGATAATAGCACCCTATCTATTGTCTGGAATATAAATGAGATCATGTAGATGGTATTCTCTGAGACAGAGGATCCCAAGCAGGCTCCAGGCTCTGTGCTGCCAGCAGAGAGCCCGATGCGGGGCTTGAACTCACAAAACCACAAGATCATGACCTGAGCAGAAACCAAGCGTCAGATCCTTAACCAAGTGAGCCACCCAGGTGCCCCTTTACTTATTTTCCCCCCTTGTAATGATTTACTTTTTCTACCTGGATACAAGAACTCTTTTTATAACCTTAAAGTTTATAAATTTGCCACAATATATCTCAGTGTGGAGCTTTCTTTCTTTTTTTTTTTTTAAATATAATTTATTGTCAAATTGGCTAACATACAGTGTATACAGTGTGCTCTTGGTTTTTGGGGTAGATTCCTGTGATTCATCACTTACATACAACACCCAGTGATCATTCCAACAAGTGCCTTCCTCAGTGCCCATCCCCCATTTCCCTCTCTCCCCCACCCCCCATTCACCCTCAGTTTGTTCTCTGTATTTAAGAGTCTCATGGCTTGCCTCCCTTCCTCTCCGTTTGTAACTATTTTTTTCCCCTTAACCTTCCCACATGGTCTTTTGTTAAGTCCTTTACTTATTTTTTAATTGCACAAGTGATAAATGAATGTATCTGAATATTTAAAAGCAACTCCTAGACATTATATTATTTCACTGTAAATATACTCATGATAAATATTTTAAGGCATGTTTTTAATAAATACAGTCTCTTTAAAACCACAGAACTGCAATACCATTATTGCACCCAGTATATTAAAAATAATTCCTTAATATCACCAGTTCTTAAAATCACCAGAATGATTTTCTGATTTGATTTTCCTCAATAGTCTCAAAAATATCTTTTTATGGTTGTTTGGTTTCAATCAAAATCTATAAGGAGTCTCCACTTTTCACTGAATGGATATGTATTACACATCTCAGTAGGTCTATAACCATTTCCCCTCCTTTTTAAAAAACTTTTTTCTTCCTCCTTTTTTATGCCATATCTTTGTTGAAAAATATGGAGTCATTCCTATAGAGTTTTCCAATTCAGGATATGACTGTATTGTCACGGCATCACTTAGCAGATTCTTTTATCACATTTCCTGAAAACTGGTACATAGCTCTAGAAGCTTATTTAGATTTAGATTAAAATGAAAATTATTTTTCTGGGAAAACTATAAAAGTAATGTTTTTATACTATCTTTTATATTTAAAAGTTATGAATTTGAAATAGCAGCTCAATGGTTCCCATGGCATTTTGCACTTAAGAGTACAAGATTCTCAAGAGGGAAGGAGGTAAGCCATTCACTCTGGTTTCTGACTCATGCAGGAGTGAATCAGCTTCACTTCACTTCACTTTACTTGGAGTAACTTAGAGTACTACTTTATCTCTAATTGATTTATTAGAGATATCCTTGGCTAAAGATGCTCATGTACCTTTGACTAAAAATATAAATTCCTTGTCTACATCCTATACTAGGAGTTTTAAAACTGGTTCTACTGCTGATATTCTATTACATGATATGCTTCGGTGATGGGGGAACACTTATTTCCACTTGCTTCCATGTTGATTAAACTCCCATTGGGTTAACACTCTTTGCTGCATCGTGATTCCTCACTCACTTTTTGCCTCCCTCCAGGGAAAGTGGAGTAAGTTATTAAAAGGTGAGTTTGAGAAAAAGAACCTCGCTGAAGTGGACCCGGATGGAACTGACAGCCGCAGGCTATCAGATAACCGCAGTCCCTACAGCTGGGTAGTGAATCTTTCGTTCAAGGGAGGACTGAGCAGAGCAACTCAATATCTGCCACAGCTCCCCCGTGCAACACAACACCTAGCACAGTGGGGTGCACACCTGTTCTGTGTGCACTTGTCTGAGAACCCACTAGGGGATGAGCCTCTGGTGGGCAAAGAGTATTTTCCATCTCGGCATCTGCCAGCACTGTGATCTGCGCAGCATTCTCAGCAATGAGCACCCTCACATTTAGTTGGTCCCGATTCACACCAACTTGCACACTATACCAGCTCCCGTTCCTTCAGGGTCCACTTCAGTTTTCAAGCTACAGTCATGCTTTCCACAGGAAGTTCCCACCCAGTGACCACACCAGAGAGTAACTAAGGTCACACTCTTTGTGGATGGCCCCAGCCCACGACTAGGCAAGGTGGTGATACAACGGCCTGGCAGTTTCCACCCAAGGCAGGACTCCTCCACTGGGCCATCTTTGTTACCATTAGGCTGGTGTAGGGTGACCAGCTATCACGGTTTGCTGGGACTGAGGGATTTCCAAGGATGTAGGATGTTCAGTGCTAAAGCTGGGAAATTTCCAGGCCAATTAGGATGGCTGGTCACTTTCACTGGTGTAGACGTTGTCAGGTCTACATTGGGGTCTGACAGCTCCCCTCCATCCAGTCTTGCTTCCTTCCCTTTTGCCTTTCGCAGGTATTCCTCCTGGCTTCCTCTCGATGTCTGCTTCCCCGAGCACTCCGCCAACACAGGAGCACATGCAGCACAGAAACCAGGAGCGACCTAAATACTGCCAGAGGGCAGGGGAAAGGTTACTTTGACAATTACAGGGGTGCTTCTGGTATAACTTTTTCAGTGGGCGATTCGTTCAGCACCCTTTGAAAAAGAGAAGAGGCATACGTAAATACTCGATGACTTCAGGTTCCCTAAACTGCATTCAAATACTCAAAATGAAGGCTTTGCCAAAAAAGGAGTCAAACTTCTTGTCCCTATGTCCTTCTTTAAACATGCCTGCTATTAATTTCTATGAGTTACGAGGAAAAATGAAAGGAGCTTCACGTTTCCTGAGAAGTATCTTAAAATCAAGAGGGATTGTGGGTGAGGAAACGGGAAGGCATCCATCAGAGCCAGGAGTAGGGTAAGGAAAGCAAGGTGCTCAGGGCATAACATTTAGGGAGGCGCTCACTGTCATGGCCATTAGGAGTTCAGAGGCAGCACTTGCATGAACCTGAGCGTGAGCACTTCCTTAAATCTCGCACCCAGTTGCCTAGCTTGCCGCATCCTTGTCTCAGCCCTGGCATCCATAATAATATTAGACAACTTACACAGAACATTCTGTCTTTCCTGCCCCAGGTACAAAGCCATCGTCCGGCCGATGGATATCCAGGCCTCTCATGCTCTGATGAAAATCTGCCTCAAAGCTGCACTGATCTGGGTTATCTCCATGCTTCTGGCCATCCCGGAGGCTGTGTTTTCTGATCTACATCCCTTTCATGAGGAAAGCACCAACCAGACCTTCATTAGCTGTGCCCCGTACCCACATTCTAATGAGCTGCACCCCAAAATTCACTCCATGGCTTCCTTCCTGGTCTTCTACATCATCCCACTGTCGATTATCTCTGTCTACTACTACTTCATTGCTAAAAATCTGATCCAGAGTGCTTACAACCTGCCTGTGGAAGGGAATATACATGTCAAGAAGCAGGTGGGTGCTTAGGATTGATTCATTTCCTCCTTAGGGATCTGATTCCTCTTGGACTCCACTGACAAGCACACTATTAGGAGGTCATGTCACCTGATTCTGCAATTAGAGGAGGTGGGTGATCTGTGGCCAGATGGTAAATGGAAACTCCTAGCCACAGAAGCCCAGATTTTCAGGTTTAAAAAAAAAATAATCTTGTTCTCTTACTAAAGACCTAACTAGGGAGGTATTGAGAATCTGGAAGGTTTGAAGTATGTGAAGTATGGGTTTCTTTTTGAGAAATATATGAAGTGTTGTTGTTAACAAAATAAAATGTTGAGGGCCATAGGAATGTGACTTCTTTTTTTTTAATTTTCTAATATTTTATTTATTTCTGAGAAAGAGAGAGAGAGCAGGGGAGGATCAGAGAGAGAGGGAGATACAGAATCTGAAACAGACTCCAGGCTCTGAGCTGGCTGTCAGCACAGAGCCCAATGCGGGGCTCGAACCCATGAACCGTGAGATTATGACCTGAGCCAAAGTCGGATGCTTAACTGACTGAGCCACGGGTGCCCCAGGATGTGACTTCTTTAAACTCCAGTCACATTGTTTGGATAGGAAGAGGGTTACCACATGGGGACAAGGCAGAGAGTGTAAGAAAATGGAGCTGGTTGAAGAAAAAGAAGTTGTTTGACTAAGATAGGCTCACAGTGATTTGGGTTCAAATTCAGACCTCATGACTTAACTCGCTTACTCTTTCTGAGCCTCAGTTCCCTTACCCATGATTCAGAGTGATAACCCCCATATTGTAAGGCTGGAAGATTAAAAGACAAAGCTTATGTATGACCTAGAGTGCCCAGAATGCAGAATGCCCTCCACTCGTGCTAGACTCCCTTCCCCATCCCCCATAATCCTGCAGAATTTCAGATTTGAGGTATGAATATTAGGAACCGGGGACTCTGGCTTTATCCTCTTCGTCAGTTCTTGCTTTCTAGTCCAAATGTAGATCATGTGGCATTTATGATGGAAAAGCAAAAGACTCCCTATCCATCTAAATGTACAGCTGACTCGGTGGCTTCACCCTTTAAAGTTTTTTTCCCCTCAATTATGAGGAGAGAGTGGCAGTTCTCAGTGAAACTCTCTCCATATTTTGAAAGGCCTCTCAATAGTGAACATCCATTGTACCTCCAATTCTTTCATGAGAACGATGTTTCCCCTTGCAGTGGTACCAAAGGGTGTTGGAAGCAAACGATCCTCAGCCCACTTTGTCTAAGACCCTTCCTATATATTAGTGTAGCCCAGAAATAAGTTGAGATTTAAAAAAAATAATAATCGGAAGTTATTTTGATTTGGCCAGTAAGGAAGAAAAAAGCTGGCTGCTCTTTTGAGCATCAGGGGGAATAAGAAATTATTAGCTGTGGAGCCGAGAAAGACATGAAGTCATATGGCAGATAAACTGCACAGAGCTCTCCTGAGGAACAGGAGGTCACTTACTAGAATTTCACTGAGCAATCCATTCAAGCATGTAATCAACTTTGTTTAAAGATCTGTTCTCAGTGTCACGTTCTAACTATATTCTACCTCATGGATTTCTGCTTCCTGGCTTTTCCATTTCTGTGTTTCTGACTCCCCCTCTCCCTTTTCCATCTGTTTCTGTTGCTTTTCTCCCGTTTTATTGGATTCTCTCTTGTCCCCTTTCTCCCATTGAACCCTTTTTCTGTGGCTTTGTGAGCTCATCTATTCCAATTCCTTTCCCCCGCTTTTGTTTTTCTTTTCTCTCTCTGAATCTTTGTCACTCTTCATTCATCCCACACCGTCCCTTGGTCCCTCTGTCTCTATGTGCATAACTCTCTCCTTAGATCGAATCCCGGAAGCGCCTCGCCAAGACGGTGCTGGTGTTCGTGGGCCTCTTTGCCTTTTGCTGGCTCCCCAACCACATCATCTACCTGTATCGCTCCTACCACTACTCGGAGGTGGACACCTCCATGCTCCACTTCATCACCAGCATCTGCGCCCGCCTCCTGGCCTTCACCAACTCCTGTGTGAACCCTTTTGCCCTCTACCTGCTGAGCAAGAGTTTCAGGAAACAGTTCAACACCCAGCTCCTCTGCTGCCGGCCCGGCCTAATGACCCGCTCTCACAGCACCGGCCGAAGTACCACCTGCATGACCTCCTTCAAGAGTACCAACCCCTCTGTGGCCACCTTCAGCCTCATCAACGGAAACATCTGTCATGAAGGGTATGTCTAGGCTGATCCTTGACCCTGTCCCCTTGGGGGTCCCCGGTTGTACTTTAGGGCTAGTAAAGAACCCCATACCTGTTGTTGTCTCTGTACCCTTCAGAAGGCTCGTGAGTGGTATAGGCAGGCTGCAGAGAGGCCCAAATGGACTGCTCTTACGTTTGAAAGGCCCATCAAGGCTTACATTTTCTGTCTCAACTTGTGAATGCCTCTTCTGACGTAGAGCAAACCTTCCCTATTTTAGAAAAGGGAATAAATAAGAAGTTGTTACTTTAAACATCAAGCCCTGATACACAGTTATAGACAATTAAGTCATAGAAACTGCATGAACAAGCAGATTTACACAGCAGAAAAATCATATGTTAAATGTCCACTCTGTGAGAAACTTCACCTTGTCATTTCTTTAAGCGGAAACTAGTGCTTTAAAAATATGATGTGAGTGATTTTCCGGGAACGTTTATAATCACAAACCAAGGAACTGTTTTTTACACTTGTAACATGAAAGTCAGCCCTGTGAAAAACTCCCATGTATGACGGTCCATTCCCAAATTGATAACACTGGCAGTCAGTTTAAGACGAATCCCCGAGTGTTGATTATTTTTAAAAGATGTTACTGGGGGCCCAGAAGAAACACTTAACACATCATTTTAAGGCAAAAACAGCCAAACACACAGACACATATACAAAGATCCATGTGAGGCTGTGGATTGGTATCTCGCGCTCTGAATTCTAACTCAGTGGAGATTCTTTTTGCCGTTACCCCATTTCAATCATGCATGGTACACTTCTACCATAGAAGAGAAATCCTTTGGCGGGGCGGGGGGGGGGGGCGGGGGGAGGGAGATTGATCTTACTCTCAATTCATCATTTATAAGTGAATAAAGTATAGTGTTTATTTTTGGTATACAGGTTTTCAGCCAAATGTATTTACTTAGATTTGGCTCTTTGCTGCATTGAAGCAGTCAGTTCATGTGAAAAAAAAAATGCAGCAAAGAGCCAAATCTAAGTAAATACATTTCCTGAGTGGAAAGAGAAACATGTTTACATTTAACATATGCTTACCTAAAGTCTGTGGGAGGAAATGACTAAAATTTCAGTAATATATATTTCTGTTTGAATATGTATAAATAATTTGCAGGGGGGCTTAGCTTTAAGAATGGATTGTAAAACAGCTACCAAGTCATTAACTTTCGACGTAAGAGGAGTATTTATGAAACAGCCCGTGGGCAGAAAAGTACTGGACTGAAATAGTTTTTATTTTCCTGAGTAGAGAGATTTGACAATCTTACTTTAGAAACACTGAATCAAGTTTTTCTTGATTCCATGATAGGCCAATTCTGCTAGACTGCAAACATGTTAACCCACTTTCAGATAAATCTAAATTCTGCAAATGCGCTGTCATGTGTATCCCTTACATTTGAAGATGATTTTTGCTCTGGTTTTCTCTGCCCAAGTGAGAAAGAACTGTCAGCTCTCTTTAGACGTGGCACATATTGAAACATTTTCATCTCTTGTTACAAGGAAGCACTCACCGTTGGCAGAGCTTTAGAAGTTAGGACCCAGACGGATGTGAAGATCTGTGTTTACAGTTATATTAGCTGGAGTGAGATCTCTTCACTTCCTTCTGTGAGCTGCATGCACTTCTTTTTTTTTTTTTAATGATTATTTTTGAGAGCGAGAGAGACAGACTGTGAGTGGGAGAGGGGCAGGGAGAGAGAGGGAGACCCAGAATCTGAAGCAGGCTCCAGGTTCCGAGCTGTCAGCACAGAGCCCGACGTGGGGCTTGAACCCATGAACTGTGAGATAATGACCTGAGCCAAAGTCGGACACTCAGCTGACTGAGCCACCCAGGTGCCCCCCATGCACTTCTATACTGTCCCCACCTGCTCTCCTGGGAGTCCATAATGACACTGGACAGTTTGAAGAACAAGACAGGTAGTGTAGCAGAAAGAACCAAGATTCTCAGCCGAGCATCCCAGCTTGGTCTCTAGCTATATGAGCTTGGCTATCAATTTCCCTTCTCTAGACTCATTTTTTCAACTCTAGAATGAGAGGACAGTGCTAAGATACCTTTGCTGAAATCCTCTGAGCCCCGTCATGTTCCCAATTCTGTCTCTAACGCATTTGTACTGCCAGCCCCCTCACAGGTGCCCCACTTCTGCTACCTTTGCAACAACTCATCTGGGGAAATCTTTCAAGCAACATGCTATACTCATGTTCACGTTAGTGGAATGGAAGGAGACTAGTCTGTCAGGGACTCACTGGAATAATGTGTATGAATGGTGTCCCATTAGCTTGTTATGCTGTGGAATTAAAGCGGAAAAACACATAAGAAAACATATTGCTCAATCTCATTATACAAAGGGTATTTTTCCTACTCATCTCTGACCTCCATGCACCTGTTATCTCAAACTACTGTTCCACAACTTTACCCTTGGATTTCTTCAAAACTCTTGAGTATAAGTGACTTCATACCTAGTTAGGGGCTACAGTGTATAGTGTTCTGGGTACTTTTGTGACTTGTTCAAGCATCTCTGATCTACCTGCCCTCAAAGATATTTTGGGAGTAGGAGTCACTTAATGTCTCCTTCACGTAACATCATGGCAAAGGCTGTCTCAGACTCCGCCCTAGCGTCTGGGCAAACAGGAGACTGAAATCTAGGTCCAGCTGTGTGTCCTGAGGCACCTATTATCACCTCTTTGAGACTCCTAAATGGAAGGGCTGGAGAAGGCGTGTGCCAGCCAGCGGCCCAGGACTGGTAAAACTGTTCTGGGAATCAACTGATAGACGGACGCGAACCCGCTTGTTGGGACGGAGGTAGTCGGGTCCTTCTCTAGGGAAGCCAACTTCTGACTCCACCTCAAGACCCTAAAATTCCGGTGAGAGAGACCCAAGCCCCCAGGTGGTATCACCTCGCTGCTAGGGCAGCGTGTGGCAGGGGCTGGAGCTAAGACATTTCACACCCGGCTTCCAAAGATAATCACGTTTAGCGCTTATGTCTTTGGCGAGGGGGAAAAAAAATCAATTTTTGCTGTGGAAAACCATCTGTGTTTATTCAATTGACAGACACTACCTTTCAACCTATCTTAAATTGAGCCTCCCTGAGGCAGGCGGCTCAACAGTGATAGATTAAGCAATAAACACGGCAGCCTGCCCACCACCGGCCGCTGCTGGCTGGGAAGGCGCAGCTGTTGTTAGGAGCGATCTTCCACAGCAGGATGGGCCTCCCTGCTTGGCGCGGGTGAGGCCCCCACACCTTCCGTGATGACTCCCCATAAATGAGCTAACCCCTGTTCTTCTAGCTGCCCTCACTCCCCCACTGACCCTGGCCTTCTGCCTCATTAACAAGCCCTCTCGATTCCCTCTTTGCCACACAGACACTTTGGTTACATCTTAAAGGATGGAGAAGGATGATAAATAAACAGTTTAGAGGCTGCTTCAGACGAAGCCGAACTCAGCTCGTTATGAGAGGGCTCACTGAACAGAAATAAATGAACTTGTCCAAAGGACACGGGCACACTGAAGTTGTAAAGTCTTTGTGCCAAAAGTAGCAGTTGATTGTTGGTTTCAGAGTCGATTCACATACCAAATGTCTTCCGGTAAGAGAGATGAGCTTTGTTTGGGGACCACGAGTTGAATGACATCCTCCACCTGTGGACTAAAAGGTGGCCAAGCCACTTTCCCAAAAGCCACATGGGAATGAGCGCCCTGGAAACCTGATCACGTGAGAGGTGAGTGACTGGTACACACTTCCGTGGCGGTGAGACGTGAGAGAGGCCGGCTTTCTGGCCACTGCCGCCCTTCGCATCCAGGCCCCGAAGGAGCTGCTGTTAGAGACTGTCACTGCTAAACCTGGCTTGCTGGGAAGAATAGGACACATTTTGCCCATCCGTCTAACGGCTGGCTGAATTTTCATCAAATAGATTAACAGCTGAAAACAAAGAAATTATTCACTCTCCTGGGGCCAGACTTTGTGTGAGCTATTCAAAGAAACCAAGCCCTAATAAGCTCTAGTTTATATGTGATGGTCATTCCTCTCAGCCCCTACCCTGACAATCCTCTGGCAGTCTCTCACCCCCCCACACACAAACACAACAACTTCAATATCCAGAAATCTCTTGCCATAACTTTGCCCTTCAAAGACACCCTTTCTTTAGGTAGGGGCCAAGCATGAACTCCAGCTGAACATATCCAGAGCAATCAACAAATCACACGTTGAGAACAGACTTTTCTTTTCTGAGACCACGTTAGAAATGCACTCAGTGGAGTTTATCTAACTTTTTAAAAAGTTTAACGGCCCCTGGGTTCAAATATTATGTGCCCATGATTATTTTAAAAACACAATTTGCATTTACCTAGTGTTCATGGTCTATAAAGCATTTTTATACTCAATTGTCTCATCTAATCCAAGCCTTCCCTGCTGGCCACAGTGCTGTTTAGCATCTTCTGCTATGGAAATTTGTAAATGACATTTACTAGTGACCATGTATGATTAGATTCAAAGACCCATGGAACTATGAGGCTGCAGTATGACACTACAGAGAGTGGACCATACTTGACCTACAAAAGGGTGATTTCATATGGTTCAGCGAACTCTGATTTCATTTATACTCCTGGACGTTTTGTGATATCGAAGAACAGTGCTGATCACTTTCCCAGTTTACAGGATAGTCTGTGTCTGCAAAGTGGATCTGTTTAACTTGGCCCAGGGCAGGGAATGATGCCATTGTTGGCTGTGCCAGGGAGGTACATTAGCCAGAACAGCAGTTCGTGTCACACTGAAGTGGAAGTCTAAGATAAGAAGGCACGGGATCCTGGGGAGCAAAACTACAAGCCACGGAACACACTCTATTTGTGTGAAACCTGAGGGGAGTTCTGTGACTCTAGAAGTGCTGGAAGGGGGCGCCTGGGAGGCTCAGTTGGTTAAGCGTCTGACTCTTGATTTCAGCTCAGGTCATGATTTCCTGTTTGTGAGCTTGAACCCCATGTCGGGCTCCTCGCTGATGGTA